AACAGAAACATCAGAGGCAGTGTAAACGAGTAATCGACACAGAGGTAATGTAACTGCCGTCTAGAATCTATTAAATGAGGTAAGTGGTACAGTGAGGTCTCGGATTAACAAAACGATTTTACGCTGGATTACTGTTACACGACCATTTCCATTACTTTTAAGTGTTCTGCTTTAATTTAATTCTTTTATTATCGGGCATCACAGAAGAACATTGAAAGTTGGTTGATTAACAGATCGCCCACAAAGAAGAGTTAATTTTGACTCGGATTTTAATTACGTTAATTATATTACGTACACATTGCGAAGACTATAAACAGTACACTTCTACTGACACTATAATGTTCCTTTATAAATGAAATGCAAATAGAGACAAAGTAATTTACATGACGTACAAATAGAAGATTGGGTATAAATACGTGTTCCATTACTTTCAACGATTCATTAAAAACACTGCTTTAACCCTTTCATTCCGAACTTATTTAAAAATGACCAAAGAAATATTTTGTTATATTTGTATATATAATAACACTAAATGATACACAAGAACATTTTAATATTTTGAAACAGTCTAATGCCGTTTCTCGTTCGTTGACTTTTGACAACTCTTTTACTCTCATCACAGTTGGGTATGTACATATAACGATTCCCATTATAATGTTATTATACGTAACAAAAAAACAATTTTTCTTACCCTTGATGAATAAACCCACTTAAAATATTTAAAAGAAACTACAGTTTCGTAAGTGTCTATTGTAATTGTATAAATGCTCGACACTAGAATTTCATCAAATGAAAGAGAGACCAATAATGTCTCATTTTACCGATAAACTTTCAAATGCACAGTCAAATTTGTGTTATACTATCTAACCTATACAAGACTAGTAGAAACTATTATATACTCACAGATATGAAAAAATACACGATATTTTATTTCGTAATTTAGAATACGCAGCCACATGGACACAGTGGGGATGAAAGGGTTAAGAAAAGCTGTTTTTGAAGAAGTGTAACAAATTATGGTGAAACTCGAACAAAAAAGTTTATCCTCCGATTTCACCAGTACACTAATTTTGTGGGTCAGCAATGACCCGGCTACTCCTCGACGAAATCAACTACAAATGACACGCGTTTCCGCGTAAGTCGACGTTATCAAGAGAACAATATTTCGTCCGGGAATAAGTATCGCGATTGCCTCCCATCTAGGCGAATGGTAAAAATACTCCGATCGACGAAAGATCGTAAATTAATCTCGCTCCACCGTTGATGCGCGAAAGATACGTGTTTGAGCAAACAACCGTGTGTACTCGCGATCAAACAATTCGCGCGCGTCACACGTTCCCAACCTCTCTCCTCGACAAACGACAAACTCTCCTACTTCTTGTTCTTGTTCCGTCTCCGTCATCCTTCGAGCCGGCCGCCGTTATATTCAATAATAAGCACACCTGGTCAAATTCAATTATTCGGTTCCCGGGGGCAAGTAATCCAATTTGCACGTCGTCAAGTCAAGCGGCGAAACTAGCTTCGAAGATCGGAGCCATACAAGCCGACCGCGCGCGTATCAAATATTGAAGTTACCAGATTGCGCGGTCCTGGACCAACCCCCTCAGGGGACGTCAAACAACCGCCACGGACTGAAAACGTGGAAATCGTCTCGTCGAAATGCGGCCACAGTTTAACCCTCCTCCGTGATCTGCATGGACACCGGTCGAAATAGTGTACACGAGGGAGCTAGGCTTCACCGGCATCAAACTTCTAAACGCAATATGTAATAGGGCAACGAAGCCACCTAATGTTTCAACGGAACTGGAATATCTTGTACCTATTTCTCTCGTGATTTTTCATTTCGGTTCTTTCATGGAAATCTCCAGAAACTTGGATAAAGATCGTTTTAGATTGCAGGAAATTATTTTCGACCAGCGAAAACCGAAATCGATCATTTCGGGAGAACAGATATTAATTCATTATTGGTGTTTTGAAAGATAGATTGGATGATCCAACTACCAGACGACTGGTACTTCGTGAGAATGTTCCAATGTAGATTTAGAAGGAGAACTGCATACAGATTTGAATATAGTCAGGCATCACTATCCGTGTGTGACTGTCTAAAACGTTCGACATCCTAGGGTTAATGGGTTTATAATTGATCACAGACCACAAAAGATAAAGGGCATGGTGTTGTACATCAATGACTATCGGGGTTCGAAGGTAGACCTACATAGACTGAAGAAGGTTGGCTAATATACAATAATAGTATAATACGTACACATTCGATGAATGTGTGGGGCAGGATGACAGGATAGATAAGGGATTTCGAGAAAGATAATCAAAGATTGATACGAGAGGATCACAAAGTTTGGCAAGTGTGGTCAAGAAGTTCGGCGAGAAGGTTCTTGTTCGAAGTTTTGGCAGAAAGTTGCGATGATTAGCTTTGATAGCTTTATTTACATTCTTTAAAGCATAACGAATGGGAAGGGCTAGATGTAAACAAGATCATTTATTACAACGTATTCAATTATGCTCTAAATTAGTAAAATAATCATTTCAGAAAGGCAGATATTATTAAAAAAATACTAAAAAATCGAAATATTTTTGTGGTAAATCATTATTTGCATTGTTTAATAAAGAGTGTACTTACTAAACAATGATGTCATTCAGTTAACTCGTGGCAAAAATAGTTGTACCTATACCCTGAGTTTGTTGCAGTATGGCATTCCTCCAGAACTCTTTGAACGACTATAAAGGCGGAAATACTGGCCGTGCAATGTTCAGGTTGCAAGGACCATGTTCTGCTAGCAGAGATCAAAATATATTACACGCGTCGTGACTGCGAGGATTTTCAGACTGGGTGAGTAGAGAGAGTGTATTAATGTTTTTTTTTCCGAGTAATTCCGCAGCTCTTTCTCGCGTCTGGGCCCAGAACATTCCCGCCATGCACTTTGTTAACAATACACGAATATTTCACGGTCCCAGACGGAATACTATTTAATAACAATTTTAGCAATGTGGTACCCACAACGATTCTCTGCAAATGATCTATATTTAAGGTAATATCAAAATAGAAACATATTAAATGATAATTCATTTCCGTTAAAACGCTATTCAAGATGGTAAAAAATGGCAGACCATTGATAAATCAAGAAAGATAAAATGTTCTTAAAATATTTCCTATTATCTGAAATTTCAAGAGAAATAACATTTCAGATAAGGATGAAAATGTTCTTTCCAGTACATTTCCTATCATGACATTGCATATACATACACGATATTTACGTTCTTTTGCAAGCCATAGTCTAAAGAGTCGCGTTCTGCTCTCTTATTTAGAAACTACAACCGTAACCTCGATTCAACTGTTTTTATGTTTCATTATATTCAGTCGCAGCCTCCGATCCATTCCATACAACAAAGATTTCGTTGTCACAAAGAATGCTGTAAAAACAATCATATAGTATGAACATAGTAAGAATTCCAGACATTCTTCGTTTATATTCATCAATCTACTGCATTGTTATTTATTACAATATATAATATTTATATAAATCAAGCACTAGACTAACTTTCACTACCCACAGATGATTGCAAAGAAGATTTAAAATAAGAAACACCCTTACAAGTAGTAATGAAGGAGTTGAAAATGAATACGCTTTACTCTACAGGACAGAATATCGATCGGAAAAGTCTCGAGTGGATACCGATTATCTCCGGGATACTTTACACAATAATATCCACCAGGCTAATATCAGATCCACGTTTGAATACAGATCTATAAATAGATCTGTATTGTAGTAAACTAGATTTAGAATGCTACAGCTTCATGTGAAGAAATTTATCCGTCAGTGTATATGCATAAATAAAAATGAGTTCATTTATATATAAATATTTTTAACTGTGCAACAGTATGATAAGAATGTCACTGTGTCGATTCCGTGCAATTGTGCAATCACACATAATTGATCATAAATATTTTCCTTTAATAAGTATCTTTGAACCATGGATGATTTGTACGATACTACACGTGTCTTATCTTATCACGGAAAGTCAGTATTAACAAAACCTATACAATTCCGTGATTTAAAATAAGAATCACAAATGTTTGTCTACATAGTCAATCAAAGCCTCTACGTTTAACTAGCACGTAACATGAATTAACGTGATGTTCGCGCACACTTTTCGTCAGATACAACTGAATGTTTAATGCACACTGCCATCCACTGGCTATGTAACTGATGAAACTTGTTTAAAATTAATAGAATGGTACGGCCACAAATTTCCTCAATCAAATTCGCTTTTGAATTACATGTAAAACAAACACATGATGTCACGCTGATAACACCAGTATCTGTAGACTCCGTTTAAGTATCCAAAAATATGTTCGACCCCACCGTTTCGTTTTTGGCGTGTACTATATAAAGCACAGCCAAATATTAGAGATTTTTTTCTGACGAGTGTTCACGATGTTCCTGGGCTACTGAATTCACAGCCTGATTACGGTAAAAATATACATACAGCGTTGAAATAATTTCTATTGCAATATTTCCGAAACTTTCATCATCTTTCCTCATCTTCAGTGATCTTATCTTTCATCTTTAAAAAAAATATTTTATTTTCTAAAAAAAGATTTTTCGCTGCTATAGTTGGTTCAAAGTTCAAAAGTCTTCCGGAAATAACAAGGTTTCTTGCTTCGATTCCCATCGCGATACTTTTACTGTCATCCGTTCAATCGGAATCTTTCGATATCTCTTGCATCTCTAAATCTGTTCAGTCACTGTATGCAACAAAATGACAGGCATAAATATATGTAACTATAGATACCGTACGATCGTACATCGGTCACGTGTGAAAAACATCTCGAAACCTCATTTCCTCTTGCTAACTAATGGTGCAATACGGAAATGCATACATCCGTTATCTTATCTATGCGAGGGCTATATTCATTTGTGTTCATGAATCGCCAAGGTACTCGCTTCTGATGCAAATAAGGCTTTCGTCAGTCGTCTTGCACCTTGAGAGGGGTCGTCATGCCGAAGGAAACGAGTGAAAAGTCGTCCGTGAAAGTGACATGGCCGCAGTGGATCGCTTGCGTCGGAGGTAAATAAACTGAAATCGTATGATTAGCAAGCATAAAGGAAAATCCAGTGATCATATGCAAATAAATATTAATCTTTACGTTTCCTTCCGTCTAATCAACCTGCACGAACACAAAATAAAAATAAACTGATGCTGTGACGTGATGAAAGTGACACTTGTGAAAGTATTTCATGAAAACCAGAATTATACTACGTAGAATATAAAGAGACTAATACTACTGAAGACTACCTAAATACTGATGTTACATGGAAATGATAATGAAAACAGTTGTAAAAATGAAAGTGTAACCATCAAAATTAATTTCATTTCTTTAAATGGAATATTACACTGTGAAGTCAATATTTTTCTAGATAAATGAATATCAAGTTACGATTGAAATTAAGATTTAACAAATTGTCTGCACAGGAGCAGCCAATTCTACTTTACTCGTCTAACATTTTCCTATAACATCACGAATTTATTAGCTCCTTACAATTTATTCTTTGATTCTAAATGTGTCTTTCTAACTTCCTCAATGCAATAATTCTCACAATTTATCGATGCCATAACGTCCAGGAACTATAAGAGTCGTTGCATAATTCACGACTGCATTAATCAGTTTCCGATTCGTCAGATAATTTTTCAAATACCCTGCCTCTGGCATAAAAATGAAACGAAACCATTTGCATTTACCTCTAAACAAGCAAATTGTTTTGACGGTACTGTACAAGATACCTTCTCTTAATGTACTTTCCTGAGCCGACCAGTTCGTCGACAAACTATCGATTTCCAATTTGTTGAAACGTGCTTATAGCAAAGTCGGGGCTATAGCAATCGGGTCATTTATGGCAGGGAATTTTTACCAGCGCATTCAGCCAAAGACCGACCCGCGGCCTTTTGTTTTCAAATTGCCGTTAGACGTCGACGATGACCATCACCTGGGGTTCTTGGACAGCTGCAAAACACGTGCGGGACACTCATATTTTTATTAATTTTCGGTTTTTCCTGACCATCGATTCCCGGAACTCCAGGTCTACTTCGAGAAGGGGAACTTTAGCGCATCGTTCTCCCTTCCAACATTACAGACAAATTTTGCCACACCCACACCAACTCAGAACACCAATCATATACAAATACATCCACCACTCCAACACACCGCTCAAGCCACACACGAACCTGTAGATATTTTCAGTACTACGACAACAAGACATTCTGTATCCAACATTAGTAGAGACCACTTCGTCAGTCTAGTGCGATCTCAGATACCAAATACAGTTTCTACACACGACACCAGTGTCGATTCATTTTATTCCAACTATTCCGATAATATTAATTTATTCTTCGGAAAGCGACGTTCGTGAAATACTCCAACTTCAACATTTTTCGCGAACACTTCGCAACACAATTTGTTCGCAGTTACGTTGCTGGTGATCCAGGTGGGATTCATGGGGGCATGGTCGTCCCCGTACATCGAGCAGCTAACATCCCCGAAATCATCGATCCCGATCACGATGACGGAAGTGTCGTGGGTGGTGTCGTTGCTGAACTTTGGAAGGCTGTTTGGTGCAATCGCGGGGTCGCTAACCGTCAATTATTACGGCAGCAAGACCACGATTCTGGTGACCAGTATACCCATCGCGTTATGCTGGCTGTTCATAATCGTGGCTGATAACGTGTGGTGGCTCTACGTCTCGCGATTCCTCAGCGGTCTATGTTTGGGAATGATGTACAGTTGCTTTTCCCTCTATCTGGCTGAAGTGGCGAATCCCAGTATCCGTGGAGCGTTGGTCGCTCTGGCAATGAGCGGTTTACCGATCGGAAACTTGGTCATGAGCATCATGGGAGCGTACTTATCTATGACCGTGTCAGCGGCCCTCTGCTTACTACCTTGCCCGGTCTTGATGATCCTTTTCCTCTGGCTACCGGACTCGCCTCATCACTTGATCAAGATGAAACGGTACGAGAAAGCGAAAACCTCGATTCGATGGTACCATCGAGACTGCGACGTGGAAGTGGAATTTCTATCGTTACAGAAATTCGTCGATAACATCAGCGGAAAGTCGTTCCTCGAGACTCTCGGAGAGTTCAGGACCGTTCAGTACAGGAAATCGCTGTTTCTGGTCACGATACTCTTCATGTACAGTCAGATGTGCGGGATTAATAATGTATTCTTCTACATGGAGACGATCCTGAAGAGTGCTCGGGTCACGGTTATCGATCCGTCCCAGGTGGTGATTATCGTGATGGCGGCCGGTATCCTCGGATCATGCGTGCCCACGTTCCTGATGGATAGATTCGGACGGAAGTTCTTGATGATCGCGTCCTGCGCCGGTATCGCAATCGCCCTCGCCTCGCTGACCCTCGCGTTCCATCTTGTAAGCCATGGTTTCGAGTCGCGCACCCTCGACGGACTGATGATCTTCACGATGATCTTTTTCTTCATCGCCGTCTTCATCGGCGTGCTTTCTGTGCCACCCGCGATTCTCAGCGAGCTGTTCCCGTCTCATCTGAAATGCATCGCGGCTTGTTTCGGGAGCTGCGTGGCTGGCGTGTTCTCCTTCATCTCTACAATTACTTATTTACCGCTGATCGATCTGATGACCGATCGATACGTGTACTTGTTTTACGGTTTGCTGCTGCTGACAGCGGTACCGTTCACGATATTCTGTGTACCTGAGACGAAGGGGCTGTCCTTGCAGGAGATTCAAACGCGGCTAATGAAGAAGTAGGCTCACGAGAGTTTCGGCTGTGATGTAGATGTCTGCGAATTCAGGGAAGATGGAATGGACTTTGAGAGACACAGTGTTTGAACGGAAGAATTGTGTAATAATTTAGGTGGAATACGTGTGATTGCTTTGGTTATTTTATAATGGTTGTGTTATACGAGACGCGTGTGAACTTGCAAATTTATGAATGGAATACCTACTCAACTATTGACAAGATTCTCTCCCGAATGTATAATTTGGTAATAAATATAATATTGACAAAGACTGAAACGAAGTAAGATTTCCACGGCTGGAGCCTGTAGCAATTCTTCTCCTACAAAGTCTCGGCCAAGCAGATATTTCATTTCGAAAAGGTGGAAGGGCGCATCATGGAGAACTTGTCCAGTAAATCCAAAAAAAAAAAGACCAAGGAAGCCATCGCTAATAATAGAAGAAGAGGTCGCGATGCCTGTTGTTCTTTTGCCTTCCATTCTTTCCTTAACCGAGAAACGATGTAGCTATTTCTCTTTGGGGGCGGACGTACGATGCCGTAACGTCGACGATGGAACTCGGCCAGTTTCATATTTTACAAGACGATATTTCAGCCGCCTTGGCTACGCCAACGGCATCAAAAGTGCCACGTTCCCATGGCGGCACTGCTAAAAATTGGATGCCACCTTATCTCGTTCGGGTCATTGCTGATGGCTCCATCGATGACTCCTGCGTGTAACATTGCTGTACAGAGTGTTCCCTGACTATTGCACAATTCTCTGTTCATCTATTCTGAAGGCGATTCTGACCATGTGAAACGACAACACGTAGCATCGAAACTCGATAATCAATAACATACTCTTAGTCACAGATGTTAACATTATCTTCCAAAAACGTTTTTACCACTGAAAATAAATTCTTAATCTATTATTCTACTTTTCAATTTCATTCGAAAAGGTTCACATTAATTAAATAAATAATCCATCAACATGATAAATTCTATTCGTTAACAAATTAATTTCACTGTCGATTAGTATATGTGTTTGGAAAATCATGCCCCCGTTCACACATGAAAATTACAGTACATTTATATTACACCGGATTAAATAATCTCTGCCTCGTTTCAAACGCAAATCGAGCGTATCGATTACTTAAATAACCCTTTCGTAATAAATGCTTCAGGTATCCTGCATACATCCACGCCTCCTCCAGTCAGCACGGCCAATCGGCATTTTAAATTCGTTACTGTACAACCCAATTACGGAGTGGAAGAGCAGCGTGAACCGAATAATAACCGTTTACTGTATCCATCGTGTGAAAATAGCGGTTGGCCAATTATAGCCGATTTTTCGACAGTAAACCGATTCTAAGATAATCGTCGACAAGGCACACACGATATTAGGAAATCGTTCTAATTAGTATCGTGTTCGTTGCTGTACCTGCGAAATTACAGGAAAGCTTTAATTCCAGGTTGCCTACCTGCTTCATGAAATATTCATATTACTTTCCCCCGGCGTTATCAGCGCATTGACTTCCTTTACAACTTTTATTCTTTTGTCGAGACTGGTCGTTACGATTTAGTGGACATAAAAAAAACGTCGTAAAAGGGCGATCGCTACTCGGAAATAAAGTGGAATATTCAGGGAAAGGTTCGACGTTCAATCGGACGTGAAACGTTCAGACCACGATTTGCTGACTTACGTTAATAGATTTCCACCTTGACAATTATTGTTATTGCCAATCTGGTTTATTTAGACATCTAAGAAAGGACCCTGTATTTACACAATAGATATCGCGTGTAAACTGACTTTTACATTCAAATGGGCGTAAATACAAGGGAACACACTGGATATAGATTGAATAAACCAGATTTATAGACATGAGATCGGGCAGAATGTATTAAGGAATCATATTGCAAAGACATATCCAAACCCTTTGCGATCCTACAGACAAAAGAAGCCAACATTAAACTTTATTGTAAATTATAATGACTGAACACACTGACAACCGATGGAATAATAGAACTGGCAATTATATTGAATCAGATTACTGACAGATTGGTCAGTTTGAATAGAACATTTTACTCAACTTCTCACGGAAAGGTTGAAGAAGAAGAAAACTATGATCATCTCTTTTTATATTTTGCTATAGACCTTATATTTTTTTACTTGAAAAGTTGCAGAGTTCACTAGATATGAAGTTAACGCACAATTTCAGGATTATTATGTGTTCTATACTGAGAATAAATTTTCATCAACATATCTGCCGGTTGCTTAACGGTTAAGTAGTAATTTTCAGTATATATTGTTATTACGATGCAATAAAGTCATGCAACAAATAAATATGATCGTGATGTGTAAGACATAAATAAGCTCTATAAGAGTAAAAATTGAATATAATCTGTATCAGAGATTAAAGTAGACATGCTTCCAATGGGATTTTCCGATTAAATCCCCCGTTTGAGTTTTAATTTTTTCGACCCATAAAGAACACAATTAACTTGGACACTCTTCCGCATAATCTGAATGCAGAATCAGCCGAGATTGCCTATAAACTCGAGGTGAGAGAACCGATGGCAGCTGAACGAAACGCATTTCTTCGGTTCAACAAGAGGGCCATGAAGATGTCTGATGTCGCCTTAAACCTTTCTCAGGGACAAACGAGATAGTTTATCGTTGCGAGGATATAAACGCTTCCCTTGACAAAGCCGCGGGAATTGTACGCTCAAAGGCGCACATTATACATCACTGGCTTTCATCGGGTCGCTGACATACACGGGCCAGTTTTCATCCTAAAACCAGGCGGATAGTGGATTTACCACTGGACTGTCCAAACGCATCAAAAAGGATGTAGGATGGTTATTTTCTAAACGGTGGTTTCTTCGATTTTGTTTTAAATAAATAATACAGAACAGAGCGAGTAACAGAATACTTCAATACTGAAAAACTCAACGAAGAAAACTTTTTCTCTAAAGCTTCATCCTAGACGTCCTAACAACGTCAGAGTATCATCATATACACAACTGAAAATGGCAATTTTTCGATTGTACTATTACCTGTACCAATCAATAATCCACTTTGTTTTTTACATTCTATGTTTTCTCAGAAAAAACTCGAACATTTATGCTACTGTAATAATATTTGTTATTTGCCTCCATTCTACGTCATTTTTACCGAACTAGAAATCGGAAAGGTATTCGGAATTTAAATGGTACAACACAATAGTGAATTATTTATTACTAGACATAATGCATTCTGGGACATAATACTATTTATTCTCGTTAGATAATATTTTTCTATCGTTTAAACGAAACGTACGATATCTGCCAGTGAAAATGATTTTAATCGAAACCCACTATTTCTTATAAACAACGAACCGACCACACGACATAGAATGTCTTTGGATGTTATGGCCGCCAGAATGCCTACGTACCTAATCGTCCTCCTACAGGTCTCCGTGTCCGTTTCAGAACTGCTAATCGCTTTAAAGCTGTCTACAACTAAACCAAGTCAATTACCCTGTCAACCCCTGTTCTAGATTCTCTTATCCGATACTAATTATAGGAGCAAATCTGGCAATGCCAGCCGAGTTATCTCCGATTAAGCGATCTGCCCGATAGAAAAGGCGAATAAATAAATGATGTGTACGATCCATTATTCGAAATGCCTTGAAACCATCGATACCAAGTCTCTCCGGTTAATTCTCGCCGCTTCGACGACAGCCATCCGTCATTGTGAAAATGAACCACCGACCGCTATTCGTTCCCAGCCGCCGGGCTGTCACGCGGAATCGATCAAAGAGCCCGGGTATTCGGTTGTTACGCCAAAAACGAAACAGTACGACCATTCATTCTCCCTCTCGTCCAGTCCGGACACGGTGGTTTAATTTACCTCGACAGGAGTCTTGAAACGAGCGTCACAGTGCACAAAAGCAGCACGCAACGGTTTACAAAGAAAATTACTGCTGCCGCTTCATTCCGCCCGAAATGTAAATGGATTTATTTTATACATGAAGGACAGATAGATCTGGCCAATGTCGGTAGTTTCAGCACACTTTCACATTGTGCCCGCTCTTTTGTTTCATAAAACGGATATTACGGAATAAATGATTCAAAGCAAATTATGAAAAAATAATAATAAAGCATAAATTTCGTGAACGTCATGGCCATAGAGAATTACCGTGAGATAAAAGTACTGCTCGTAAATATTTAATCGCTTGCAATATTCAGAGTTTACGGCAAATGGAATAATAAAAGAGAATGTAGTCTATTATTCTACGACTGTTGTTTTACAAAGGGCTTTTGATTTTGTTTCGTATCCAGTAAAAACAAGAATTAGAAGACCGGCCTTATTGTAGAAGCTGCGATTCAGTGCTATCTGTAAAAGATATTTTCCACTCGAAATTGTGAGTGGTCTTAATTCAATGGCCAGGTGCAGTATGCACCCAAACTATATCTGACTGAGGTCGTTAATGGATTATAAACAAAGGCGATACAAAATAAATAAATTAAGAACCAAAAAAGAACTCGAATTATACCTAAACGAACAAATATAAACGTACTTCAAAGTAACTTCAGTCAAGCGAGCCGAGCCCTCCATGCATTATCCACCATCCTATTCAACTAAAATTTTGCCCATCTCCGCCCTTAAGTGCCCCCCAGCCCCCAAGTTCGCGGCTCTTCTTTCTTAACGCCGGTATAATGTCGAGGCGCAAGAAGAATCATATAGACGACGCGCAATAATGGAATGCCTCCAAGTTTCAGTCAATAAAGAAGTTCCGAAAACAATTTTGCAATGCAATAACCCTTCGTGCCACGGCAATCGACAAACTTTCCCCGTAGCCCCTCCCTATCTCTCCCCGTATACCAGACACCGAAGGACGCGTGATAGGGTGAGGGGGGTAGCTTTAAAATTCAACGAACCTCGAGGAGATCGTCTTTCCACTTACAAACAGGGATTCCGCCCCTCCGATTTCTTCCGTGGATTCGCCGCGTGGTGGTGGATGGCAGGGAACGGTTTGATCGGCCGTAAAAATCAAAAGATCGCTGCGAACAATGCTAGCCAGGGGGGGCAGCCACCTCCGCTCAATGGAATCGGCCCCTATTTCCATCCCAACGCGACGCGATCCCCTAGCTAACGCGAACGTTTTCTCATTTCCACGTGGGAACGGACCCCCGCATAATCCCGAGAAGTAGAGACGGCACGCAAAACAGAGGAACGCGGAGGAATATCATCGACGGGGAATCGAATCACGAATCGAAGTAATTTTTTTACAGCGCTGGAAGTGCCCCGTTACCATCCCCCACCCTGTAAGTAGTCTAGCCGCTTCCTTTCCTCGTGATTCGCGAACAAGTGAACGGGATCCGCGTTATTTGCCCGGCATGATAACAGCGGGTGGAGGGGGCTTCCTGGGCTAATAAAATTTTACGGTTCGGTCGCGTGGATGAAAATGGCCGACTAAAGATATTCCC